TGATTGAATAGATAAAAGCAATTGAAAACATTGAACGGAACACTACATCTAGCTTAGATTATTTTATAAACTTACTAAAATAAACGTACTGATACTGAATAATTATTCAAATGAAGTTTACTTACCAAAACACCAACCTGTAAAAATACCAAGAAACACTGCACAGCAAATAGAGAAATTGTGGAAAAGCATTTTTCTCGACAAGGCAGTTAATTTCCAAGATGTCGCAGTAGGCTTTAGGTTCAACGAATCATTTTAAATCGAAGGCAGAAACTAACCTACTTATTACCTTCGTTTTTATTATATCTCAGCACTGTACGCATTGTCTGTCGCATCACAACTGTCTGTGGTTTGACTGGAGTGACAGTTTCTGCTAATCAAGGTGTTGGCAAGAAGCATGATGGGAAGGTTTTTAATGTGTTTGACAAAGCTAATTTTGTAATACTTGAGAAGCATGTCGTATGAGTTGGTACTTCATCTAATCGACAATATACATTTTGATTGGTGTGGTTATTATGTTGTCGTAAACGATACTCCGAAGACCCGAAAACCTATTTAAAGCAATAGGCTTATTTATACCGTGAACCAAACTGCGCCGAAGCATCTGGGTGCTTAACATGTCTCTTTAAAGGGATGCATACTAAACGGGACTCTTATGTAAAGATCCCCTGAACATAAAAAAAAATTACAACAAATTATTTTGAAATTAACTTGCTCATTTTGCAGTAACATACAAATTAATAACTTCTGCATATAAATTATTGAATTAAAATAATTTGTAGGCCTACACTGAATTCTTATTCTGGATATAATAAAAATAATAAAAACATTCCAGTGACTGGAAGTGTTAAATTTTTTCGCTGTAAAAATACGGGTAAACATTTTTTTTTTTGAATACACAAATTTCAATGTTGATAATGTCTATGTTACTTTAAAATGAGCGAGTTAATTTCAAAAATGATTTATTATATTTTTTGTCATTTTTTAAAAAGACAATACATTTTTAAAGACTGTGCTTATGACAACCATTGGCCTTATTCGCGATAACAGGTTATTGCGAATATTTTATGGCACTCCTATTTTTTTTATTTTTTTTTTTATCAATTGTCTAACTTAAAAAGTGAAATCGAACACAGCTTGTTGAAATAAATGAAAATAAAATATTGCCAACAGGCTGTATTTTTATAAGGTATAGGCCTATTTTAGTTTATTTTGCTTATAGGCCTAGTAGAACGATTTCGGCTTAGTAAGCCTATACTAGAACGGTTTTGGGTTAACAGGGGCGTACCTAGGAGAATTATCGTTGGGTGGGGGTGGTGAAGGTTAAGTGGGAGGGGATCGATAGTCAAGTGAGGGGAGTTAACTGGCAAAATAAGGTAATGTGATTTCTACTACTTGAGCAGAGGCCTTTTTGATGCTTAGCAAATTTTCAGTGTGGGGGACGCCTGAAGCATGTCTTTTTTAATTAGGGGTGCTCGTCCGAGCACCAAACCTCTCCTCTACCCCGGTTGTTAAAATAAACGCATAAACGCTGCTACGCTAAGCATTGCTTGCGTTTTGGGTCAATGCGTCTTAATTACTCGGTGTAGTCTTAAGAATTCTATTGTCTACTATTTACATTAACGTTATGCTCTCTTGCATTGATTGATGAATGTTAACATGCTCTTATGCTAACGACAACAGCATAGGCCTAATTACTTATTCACATATACACTCTAAATTTATTGAACGTAAACTGATTGGAAATCTTACTAAGTGCAACTTGTGGCTAATTGATAATCAATTGTCTCTTCATCCCACAAAAATTGAATGCATTCTCTTTGCTTGGAACCAGTCATAAGCTAAAGAGAGTTGATTATTTTACATTAGATTACTCGGGACATACTGAAGGTACTGATCAATACCGTATTTATTCGAACAAACGCCCAGGGCGTTTTATTGTTGATAAGGGTTTTTCGAGGGGGCGTTTATTCGAGGGAGGTGTTTATTTAATTTTTTTTTTTTTGTGTGAAATGGACACGTGTATACTCACATAATTACCGTCAAAATGTTACTACAAATTACAAAAAAAAATGTAATTCTACAGGACTAATAAATACTAATAATAATAATAATAATAATAGAATGATGTATCTTCATTTAGACATTTTCAGTTATTTGGGGGGGGGGGCGTTTGTTGTTTAAGGAAAAAATAAACGCACCAGGGGCGTTTGTCATAGGAAGCGTTTATACCAAATGAGGCTCTAGAGGAGTGTTTATTCGGGGGGTGGGGAGCATTTATTCAAAGCTGGGTGGTTATTCAAATACCGCATTTATTTGAATAAATGCCCCCACCCCTTCAGAGCCTCATTTGAAATAAAGCCTCTCACGCATATCGAATAAATTCCCACGAGAAAACCCTTCTCAATAATAAACTCCCTGGGCGTTTATTCCAATAAATACGGTAAATACCTTGGTGTTGAAATTTACCAAGTATACGTCCGGTTAAATACTTATCGTCAAAGCTCATATCTAAAAATATCGAAAATATGTTGCAAACATCTCGCAACAACTCTAGTACAACCGCTCAGGGACGTATCCAGGGGGGGGGGGGCCGTTGGAGCCGCGGCTGCCCCCCCCCCTTTGTACACAGTGTAAAATTTTTAAAGCTTTTTTTTGAGCCAATACAAATTATTTTCTGGGACCACTCAAAATGAATACTTCTAAAATACGTAAAAATGCATCAGTAATCGTTTTACATAGGCCTGGCCTACTATAATTATAACACATGTCTAAGTATGATTTTTAAAAATCCATAAATCCCATGCCAAGTCTTTTAAGATACAGAAATGTGATACTGTATGGTTCAGTTTGGTTTTTACCCTTTTGCAAGCTTTTTAAAGTAGGGCCTATTGTTTAATAATACTATACTATTAGTAATAATAATAATAATAATAATAATAATAATAATAATAATAATAATAGTAATTCAATTCATTTCAATAATAATAATAATATTAATAATAATGGTGGTGATGATGATGATGATGATGATGATAGTGATGATGATAATTGATAGTAATATTAATAATATTAAAATGTGAAGGAAATTGTGCTAAAGGCAAAAAATAAAGTTGTGATTTGTTGATAATATTATAGTTAAAGCTTATTTAGTAAATTATAGTTAGGTCAAGTTGTCCTGGATATAAAGTAGATCCCTGATAAAGTAGATGAGAAATTTGTTGGCGTTCATTTTGACTATGTAATGGTGATGTGATGATGATGAATTTTACTACGTGAAAGTGTGATTTCCGGCCATCTAGAGGTACTACCTCAAATTTTCTCACCTCAGCCCCAATTATGGTGGGGCTGAGGTGGTTGTGAAATCACGGTTTTGAAGTATGTATAGAACACACTCAAAGGCAATGTTTTTAAGCTTTGTTTTCTATGGTATATCACACACATTCACACATTAATCATCTTTTTTGTTGCAGAAAATCCCTGATAAAAAAGACCATGAGATTTTTTTGGCGCTTCATTTGGACTACCGGTAACGGTGATGTGATGATAATGAATTTTACTAAAAGTGTTGTTTATGGCCATCTAGCTAGAGGTACTATTTCCTCACATTTTCGCTCCTCAGCTCCAACCATGGTGAGTCTGAGGTAGGTGCCGACTCACAAAATGTCCTCCCCCTCAACCTTACGTTTTTATTTTAAATCTTTATATGGGAATGGTCAAATAATATTCAGTTGCCGTTTTCGATAGGTGATGTACTGTGATTGTGAGAATCACAATTACAAAATATTTAATATTGTCTATTCTGGAACTCTGTCCGGGGAGCCGCTGAGATGTGTTCGTTCCCATATCCAATGGTCGGGTGTAATATTGTGAATCGCTTAGAGGATATTGGTATGAATCGCATATTATTACATAAAAACATCTTTTTTTCAACAAATTTTCACTGTATTTCTACAGCACAAAATATAATGACCTTAATGATTACTTGAACAAAATAATAGCAACAAAAACAAAAGTACATATTATAAAATTACGAATAAATCTTTCGAAACACTTTGATTTTCTCTGAACAATTTAATTGACATAATGTATGAACATTAAAAAATACACTTTTTGAAAAATCGAGTTATTCATCATTTAGATAATTGCAACGAGCACCGATATCATTGTTGATAACACAAAATATATTATCGTCAGCGTGTCTTTAATAGTAAATTTGTAACATCGATTATCGATTATGACTACTGTACGTAGTATGGTGTATTAAATCGTAATTACAATAACACAATTAGCCTACAAATTGTTTTCTTATCACTCTGTTAGCATAAACAGTAGCACAATATCATTATTACCATTATGGATTTTTGTTTGACCCCTACAACAATTTAAACATACTGCCATTAAACCTAGCATTCCACCTTACTTGATAATCAATTAATTCCTGAAACCTCTTCCGATGAAGTTCACGTTCGGCGTGACCGTCGTTTTTGTTATAGATTACGCCGGTAGCAAGTTTGTTTGATGCACACGGTTGTGAATCGTATGGAAGTAGTACAGGTAAAGCGCCCTCATTATTGTTGGTAGATAGCGCCCACTCTTTGGAATTACCATAACTTGTGTAATAAAGTGCCGCCATGTATGGCATATTTAAACCGTCACGTGAGCATTGATCTACCTGTGAGGAAGTAACAACAGATTCTTTTGGTATTTTAATTTCATCATTCAGGTCCTGACACCTAGGGTGTGCTGTGTCACAATGATTTTGATTATTAATTAGAGAGAAACCAACAGAATCTCTCGGCTTCACAACTTGATTATGCAAATTAATTCGTTCACTTGCTATGTTGGTTTCGTGCATCTGTTTGTTGATTCCCATTTCTTCTTGATTTTTTTTCGAAAATACGTTCGAATCCCTTAGATTGGTCAGCAACATGTCCGGCAGGGGTGCATTTAGATCTTGGTGACGTGGTGTTGTGAAATGTTGAACAGTGGTAGTAGCAGCAGCAGCTTGTTTTACGTCAACGGGTGTCTTTATTTGTTTACAGCTTTGCGTTGACTCCTTTGTCCGTTGCCATTCGTCAACCACATCTTGAACAACCTTAACACGCGCAGATTTCAAACATTTTTTAACATTTCTTTGTGTTACTTTATCAATTGGTTGTGTTTTCACACTTTTTTCCTTCAGTCCAAAAGTGTTTAATTCTTGATATTTCGTTGGATGATCTTCTGACTTTGTTGATTTCTGTAACTGGATCTTAGTGAAGCTTAATTCGTTCTTAGGATTTTTGTTTGTCCAAAGCTGATACGTTGCATCCGATTTATTGTCAACTTCATATTTCTTCTCTTCGTAATTTCGCTTCCTCTTCGGTGTTCGAGCTGATTTAGTAGATTTGTAAAAATTAACAAGGCAATGATTTTGAATCGCGTATTTGTAGAGATCATCATTAACATGATTGTCTTCATTTTGAGTTCGGATTTTCATTCGAGCTAGAATGGCAGCGTGTCTCTTAACATTCTCGATAGCGGCACCATTTTGAGTTGAGAGATCACGCTCGTTTCGCTCACGACAGTCTTCCAGAACTTCCTCATCGTCGTTCTGAAATTGTTTGCGCATTTTTAGGCACGCAGCAACTGACGCCTTTCGTCTAACGTATTTGTCTGTGATATCAGATTTAACTTGAGAACCATAATCAATTGAAGATGTTGCTGAAACTCTAACTGAACGCCTTTTGTGTCTACACTCCCCAACATAAGAATTTCTTGGCAATCCAGCGTTGGTTACACAGTTCTTTGTTGACTTCCTCTTGTATCTAGACGTCCCATAGTTGTGGGACTTCGCACGCTGCCCATCGAGATACTTTTCTGGGTCATTTTTTTTCAATTTCTTTTTCTTGGATTCCTGTTTGTAATGGCTTTCAAAATGCTTTTCCGGGTGCTTTTTTCTCGATTTCTTTTTCTTTGATTCTTGTTTGGCTGAGTGGCAGTATGGGTTATGTTTATCAGAAAACGGCCATCTATAATCCCTAGGTTCGCTTGTGTGACGTTTTGGACGATAGAGGCGGTAGCTTTCACGAACCTGAGATCCAATTTCAACTAGACCTACACTTTCCAAAAAGTGAAGTTTCTCCTCCGATCGGTACTTTAAATCACAATCGAACAATGATTTTTCGTCATAGTCTTCAGTATGCATATTGTAATCCCCATATGCTTGATTATTAATTAACATTGGCTTGTCTTGTACTGTGCCTTCTGTTGGAGTAAGTATATCTATTACTAGAACCTGGTCCTTGTCAACCAAACCATGAAAAACATCAGAGTACTGATGAGACGCATACAATCGTCCATCATCTTCATTGTAATGTTCATAATCTAAAGTTTCTTTCGCCCTTTTGTACTTTTCGTAGATTTGCTTTTTGTATTTGTAAGCCATCTGCAAAAATCTAAAAAAAATACGAATACATAAAATACACAATACCTAGTTCGTACTCAACCGCAACTATAAATAATAGGCCTAATAATAATATTGTATAATACAACATTACGAATTTATAATACAATATATAGGCCTATAGTATCATTAACAAACAAAAGAAAAAAGGTTTGGAGAAAATGGAAATAATGATTACCAAAACTACAAATAAATAAATAAATAAATAAATATTAAATAAACCAGTCGTCGGACCAGGCATATTAATTTGCCAATCCAAATAACTTTTTGTAATTTCCAACGCTGCGACTAATGTAGTACAGTACTACTCTAGGCCCCTGACCCAGGCCTATCTATAGATAATTGCATGTGGTCTACAGTAAGCAAAATATATGGAGCCTATTATAAGCCATAAAATCTCTCCCCATGAACCACCCTACCGCCATACCGGTTACTTTTATTCCGGGACCCTAACCTGACGAGGCTTTAGTCGGCAATTTCTGGAGCCATGGCTGTGCCTGAATGAAGGCAGGAGTGTCTATAAAACGAAGACCCGAAGACCGAAGATCCAAAAACGAAGACCCCTCCCTATTTTTTCTCTTTCATTTTGATGATAATACACCAGGCTGTCACAAAATCAAAATTACGATTTTTTTTTGGGCGTCCTTTTGTGAAATTTTCAAGGGTCTTCGTTTTATAGACACACTAGAAAGAAGACCCAAAAAACGAAGACCTCCAATTATTTCTCAATTATCTTATTTCAAAATCTTCGTTTTTCGGGTCTTCGGTCTTCGTTAGGGTGTCATATAACGAAGACCCTTTTGATTTTGTGACAGCCTGGTGTATTAACTATTATCATCAAAATTAAAGATAAAAAATATGGGTCTTCATTTTTTATAGACACGAGTGAAGGCAGCAAAGAAAGCGGCAGCCAGAGTGAAGAAAGGGTCCCATCCATATACAGTATCAGTATCTATTTGTTGAAGTGAAAAAAATAGAGATACTGATAGGGCTAAGCCTAGGCCTAGGTTAAATCTGACAAAGAAAGATTTACTGTCCCATGGGAATTAGTAGTAGTAGTAGAATAAGTAAGAGGCCTAGGCTAGTTTTTAGTAAGTCTCGGCTAGGGTCCTAGGCCTATTGGCATTGTATTTTGCCAATTTTCTGGCTTTCATCAATAAATAGGCAGCCTCCTCCAGCCTTGCTAGGCCTAGGCGGCCTTATGATGGTATAAACATTAATGTATGACTAGGCCTAGGCGCCTATGTATGGATGATGAATCTCTATCTATTAACATGAATGAATCATGTGCAACTATGATTAGGCCTAGCCTAGGCCTAGGCCTACACAATATTTATCAATTACTAATAGGCCTACCTTAATAAAAATACAGTATTACTCTTTTGTCTGTGCCTATGAGTCATGTACAATCAGCATTGTAACAAATTACAGCTAGCAATAGTCTTGTTTAGTTTTGGAACTAAATGTGTTCGAAATTCACTAGGCCTACGCAACTTGTGTTCTCAGGGTGATCAACATGGCGACGCAATCGACATAAAACGCGCGCGCCAGGGTCAAACGCGCTCACGCACGTGTGCCTATGTTGCCTATTGCAACCATTGGGGCGTAGAGTAGGACACAAGAAATAAACATTTTAAAAAACGTTTTTATAAAGTTTTAAAGTATTTTTTTTTTATTAACAAGTACGGTAACTGTCAATACCTGTATATTTATTAATGAAAAAACTTTTTTTTTTTAATTCAGATGTTTGGTAGTTATAATATAGGCCTAGTGGGTGTTTATCAACTCATAGAGAGCGTCTAGATTACATTGGTCCAAACAATGAGGGTTAAATTTCGTTGAAGATAACAAATTGTGTAATACATAGTTGATTAGACTATTTTCTATAATTTCTTCCAGTCGCAAGTCATAATCGATAAAACGTTGTACAGTATTTACTTTATGTTTACACCAGTCTTTTCAAATGTACAGCTTATTATAAATACCTAATAAATAAAAGTGACTACTTAAATTTTAATCATTCTCAACTTTACTTACTTTAAGATACGGTACATCAAAAATACACGAAAAGTGTATCATAGTCTTTTTTCAGCATACTTAGAGATGTATTGTATGTCATGATCCAAAATAAAAAATGACAAATTTCATTTCATTTTTAATTGCCTATTCATTTTTGTAAATTTAATTTAGTCATTTAACTTCTTAAACATAATTAATGGGCAATTAAATAATATTTTTTACTGTATATTTTTGCATAGCCTTAATTGGCTGGTAAATTAATTTAAAGATTTTTATGTCTACTGTCCTAATTGTGACAGTGAACCCGGTTTGAAGAATGATGGGATGCCTCATAAGCTAAATATAGAAATAAAAGTTAAGCCTATGAAATATGACACCATACCATAGAAAGATATGACCTGTCATAAAAAGAACTAAAAGTCAATACAAAAAGCGTGAATGGATTATGATTTTAAAGTAGAGTAGCCAAAAAAGAAAAAAAAACTATGTCAAGCAGCAGACACACACGCTCCGCTGGGAGCCTATCTTTTTTTTTTACATCAGCATAACTGAGCATAGTTACCAACCGTCTCCCATCATAAATTTGTCTCGCATTTAGCATGCATAAGTCTATGCATGATAACGAATTATCACCAAAAAAATGTAGGCCTATTCAAAATTAGAAGAAACTGTTTTTTTTAAAACATAAAAACGGTCATGCAGTTTTGAGTCATTAGAGAGCTTTCATAATCTTGTTCAAAAATAAATTCATCGAGAGCCTAGGAGCCGCAGCGCGTGTGGTCTTGCGCGTTCATTGTCACAACCATCCGTTGATTACAGTATGTGACTGAAACCAAAGAACCTCCCGCGAATGGGGTATATTATTATTCGGAAACTACACTTTTGAAACAGTGGCACACTTCAGATGATAAAGGTGCGTCCAATATTAATACTTCAAACAGAATACAATGCACTAAAGAAAACAAAGTAGGCCTATAAATTGAGTAACCGTCACTCAAGCATTTGACAAGCACCCCACCTCAAAATTTGAACATAATTACTAAGTGGAGAAATTACAGGAAACACACGAACCAGAGCGGCGCCTTTATTATTGCTATATATAAACTCAAATTGTACGTGCTTTATTAAAAGTATTATTTGTTTATTTTTGTACCCGGTATTGTCAACAAACACTCCCTGAAATCGTTTTAAAACAGCTTAAAATGCTTAGATCACTGCAGCGCCAGGGCTTCGCCCCACCCCCAGTCAGCTGGTGTAGTCATGCATTTCAAATCTCTCAGGTTGGTAACTATGCATCAGTATCTGGTTGAAAGTTATAGCTAGCGTGATCCTTTTAAATGAGCTGTTACAATTTTTAATTGAATTTCGATGTTTTTCCCGATTACTGGCAGAGAGTAAATCTTTAGGCCTATATTATTATTTTCATAATAATATAGGCCCTAATTTCATATTAAAATTGTTTTCAACATATTGACAAATTTAAGAAAGCCATCTAAAATCCAATATATAAATATTCCGGCGTTTTCAAACTACCTATGCTGTTCGTAAGAACACGAGGGCGACATTCTGTCAATCGGTTTTGTCGCCAAGTTCTCTGATTTGCTTCACCAAGTACATTTTCTCGTCGTTGAACTGTTCGTCTTCTGTCCTCTCGATGTGAAATGCCTTCAGATAATCGATAAGTTTCTCCTTGTTCTTTACTAAGATATCCAATACAGGTTTTCCTTTTGTAGGATTCGCTACAAAGACCTACCAGGAAACAAAACAAATGTATTATGAAATTTTGAAACAGGCCTACTCAGAATGTCTTACAATTAGGCCTATGTTAAAAAAATATAAAATCCAACTCGGTGTTATTTAATCAGGTAGTGGCGTGGCGTAACACTTCGAAGTATTTGACGTTCGTTTTTTTTTGTATTTTTGCACATTAGTGCTCTTCAATAAAGGCTCCCCCGACCAATGTATGGAGAAAAATGCTGATGAATATCCTGGGGCCGCTTAAGGGATGGGGCTTAAGCCAATGAAAGCTCATCTACTTCGCCACAGCAAAGAAATAGACAATCACTGCAACTGAGATCCTTGATTAAGAACCACAATGGCGTAAAGAAAAACACAACGCAACGCATTCTCTGTGATACTATATGATGGATTGAGCTAAATCCAAAACATACAATTAAATCTGTTGTTATATTTTGTAATAATACACAGGGTTGAAGACACATCTGTGTTTTACGGTGCTTCGTTACTGACAGAAACCCGGAAGTCGAATAAATGAGATGAAATATTGACATAATATAATAAACTGAATTAAGGTAGCACGTTAAATGTAAGTTCAAATTTCTTTGTTTTAAGTGTTTTAAACTATATACAATTTGGTCTAAAGGAATTTGATATAATATGATAAACTGTTAATTAATATAGCAGGTTAAATGTAAGTTCAATTGTCTTTGTTTTAAGTGTTCTACACTATTTACAATTTGGTTTAAAGGAAAATTAAAATAAGTATTTATAATTGCACTCAACATTTGAAGATACAGATGGTCGCCGGGAAAGTCAATAGAAAGATAAACCAATTGTTTGGATTCTGTAGTATAATGGTTTTAGCTTAAAATTCCATCGGTGTCAAAGAGACAAACGTTCTTCACAATACTGATTTTAAAAATCAAGTCTCTATTTATGATTGGTTATCAAACTTGGTTCAACAAAAGAATATATAGCGAAAATGTGCCTAATGAAACTTTACGTAAATTATAAATATTTTTATATTAATAAACTATGTAAATTTAAATATAGATATCAACTTAACGTAATTTTACACAATTTAGTTCACCCTTCAATTCCAGACCACGTCCTAAAAAATGGGATGGTCTCATGGTTTGGTCTCGAATTAGTGTTAAAACATTGAAGATTGTTAGCTTGTACTTTGAAAAAGTAGTATGGAATTAGAGGGAATTGGAGAGTGAACTGTACTTTTTTAAGCGTTTCAGTAGTAGGCCTAAATTGATTTTGAAAGGCCTAACAAAATGTACTCAGGGAGCCTAAATGTGAGGAAGTTCTCAGACGACGGAATATACAAACACAAAGACAAACTGATACAATTGGGGTTTTCTGTACTCATTGTTAGGCATAGTATTCTGAGCTCTACATTTACAGCTACAGTATAGAGTCCAAAATGTTGTAGCAATGATGTTGATGTAAGACTGAATAATTCCACATCAAGTCTTATTAGTTACGAACTAGCAGAAAGGTCATGTGATCTGTTTTACAACAATACGGTGCCACTGTGTCTGGTGTGTGAAAAGCTCCCGATTTTGGTTTTCTGTTTTAAGGCAGGTTTTTAAAAGTATATTTTTTCTTTATGACATGCTCTTTCATGTCGGCATAAAGCACATCTTTTTCTTGCATACCGTCAGCATAATTTTTATCATTCTACTTATTCTCCATTGTTTCTTCAAAACAACAGTTTTATTGAATACAGAAACAATGAAGAGCTACACATAATCTAAGTACTGTACTTTTAACTAACAATCAATGCAAACATGCAAACTTTGCATGAACAGCAGACAGGGGCGGATCCAGAGATGTCCAAAATGGGGCCCGATCGATCTACCCTAGGGGGCCCCCGCGGAAAGTTTTGAGTTCTACAGGCCTACATCCGAAAGTAACCTCAGGCGTTTTAGGCGATCAATTTTTTTCTTTTCCTTTCTTTCTCTTTTTACCTTCCAAAATGGGGGAGGGGGAATCCGCCCCTGGTAGAATAAAAGCTATGGAGTCATATGGAGACACAAAACACGGAAAATTAGAAGACAAACCTTGAAGACATGAAAGGCCTCGAATTGAATGTTCCGGCTCTTATCTCGAAGGAGGTTCATCATTAACTTGAGGTTATCTGGATTGCTGATGTACTTCGTCATTGTTGTGTAGTTGTGCCTATCCAGGAGTAATTCTCCGAGAAGCTAATAAAATATAGAATTGTTAACATTAATGACAGGCTATACAGCAACTGTCTGTTTTGCATTAACGATATGCTAAAGCAACCAGGGAGATGCAAGCAACTGTCTGTTTTAGAGAACATCTTTGTCAAACAAATTCAGTCTATGCAAAACAAAAAATACAAACGTTGTTATTTATATTCTTATGTCTGTTAGCTAAATAAATTATCTCTCATTCGAAATTCTTCACGTACATTAACTGAACAAAGTATAATTTTAATAGTTTATTACTATAGTTTGTCATTAATGGTACCTGTGGTCCTATTTTCGACTAAGACTCGTTGTAAGACAAGAATAAAAAGCACACGGTGTTAAGTGTTTTTTGGAAGCTTTTTTATTGTGATAAATGAATACCAAGTCTGAGAGAAAATCTATATATAGGCTGGAACATTGCACTTTTAGGGTTTGGGACAAGGCTTGAAAATGCAAGGCATACAACATTATCAGTTTACTATTATTTGACATCATATCTGTCTAATAATGCCAGCATTTGATCAAACACATACTAAGCTTCTTGGATGTAAACTTTATGTTGTACAGTAGATAGTAATTGGGCAATTTTAACCTACTACTACTACGTATCTGGAAAGAGAGAGAAATAGAGAGAGACAGTATTTATGATTGAAATGCATTGCATCACAATGTTATCGAATAACGGTGATTGCTGCATTTGCCAAATTATCTCCAAACCGGGCTTGAAGATTAGCTGCCGAAACATGGTTTTAAAATTAACAAAAGATTTCGTCATTGTGTTCTCTCGAGAAAAAAAATAATATACAATATCAATGATATGATAATATTCAAACAACCAACCATAACATTAACGATCGTTTAATGTATACAATGATCTGGAGGTACTGTATGTGATGCTTAGATACTTTATAAAACACCTTACTTTAAACCACATTTTGTGTCTGTTTCGAACTTCGACTGTGGAACATTTTAGCTTAGGTTGCAACTCACGACTTGGTGTACACACTTCGTCAAATAAAAGTAAATGCATCAACTATCACAAGCTATATTGTAATTGGAAATTTCGACAGTTATTTGCCTCAGTCACACCATCATGATGTATAACCCTACTACATCATCATCAAATTACGATTTTGATTTTCATTGAAATTAATCCGAATTTTATAAAAGGCTGCGAAATCAAGAAAAAGTATGAACACCTCTAGAATGTACAGACTTGGTAAAACATTTTAAAGTACAGTTTGTCAGTATAAGTCCTCCATATTGGTTCACAATGCATAGCGTCCAATCTACAGAGTTACACAACACCATTAATTTATATACATTAGGCCTACACTACACACATTAATAGAGTATATGCATGTCACGACAAGTGCTGTAATTAGCGTTATGAAAGTACTAGAGTGCCAAGATCAATGAAAGTTGAACTTTCTTCAAAAAAGACACTACACCATTATTGGCTCTATCAGCATCATACTGTGGCACCATTAATACCCATTTGGCTTACTTCATTGGCTTATTGTGCATTCCCCGTCACACACCTAGTATTCAACTCTATGACCGCAATACATCTATGGAAGTATGTGCCTTGGTTATTCATATGTAAAAAGAAACTCCACAAGGCTTCATATCATTGTAAAGAAAAAATTCCTAGTACAGAACGCCAATTATGGCTCATAGGAGCACACCACCCTCATCTTTACACGCTATAGTATGATTATTAACGCGGTCGATACATGCATATGACCTATTTCAAAGCTTCTTTCTCTTTAATTTTTTAAGCGGCATTATGCTCTGAATCAACCAACGGGCTTTGTGCACAGAATTACAAAAATGTTTTTGTATATACAATGTATCTTACTTATGTTTAGCATAGACGCCATTTAATTGTGTACTACAGGCTCGATCAAGCTTAAATCAATATTTTGCACGCATTTACTGCGATAAATGCCAAATAGATTAATGACATCACATATTATGTACAGTATACCTTGAATAAAATTAATCAATCACTGATTATTACTAACTGAAATAAAAATCAGAACCAGTGATAAATATTCCACTATTCTACATTTCCATTGATCAACAACTCATCAACTTAAGTAAGCTTGCTTCCCTGACAAACAAATACATTAGTTTAGTAACTTAAAAAATCTACTCTATTTAACAAACCATTATTAAAATTGTTTTAAAAACTTAAATATGTCTACTACAACACTACTGCTATATAAGTTAATAAATTTTAATGTTATCACCAAGTCAGCTTAAACAAACCTCATGGGGAGTACGCAATTAAAATTTGAAGGAATGTACTCTAAATGGTGGTAATCATTATCTATATCAAAAGAAAAAAAAAATTTAAAAAAAATCTAATTTTAATAATTATTTGGTGGATACCAACACTAGTTCTGGAGACAACTGGGAGTGTGTTATAAAGTTGATGAGGTTCCATGTAGAATGCCATAAAATGAAGCGTGTGAAAGGGATCATTATTAAATGACGATTCACTCAGACTGCCACCGACTAACAGCAGACCGCGTCACACCATCTAGCGCTAAGTGTGTGGCCTTTGAGTCTCGCACCTGATTTGCCAATTATTTCTTAGAGTTATATTATCAAATTTATTTTTTATATCAGTAAATTCTATATACATTTGCAAAGTAAATTGAAATTAAATTAAACTATTTTTCTCTTGCTTTAATCCATTATGTTTTTGTTTTTTTGCAGTTTGATAACAAGCAATCAAGATCAAATTGTTGTTACTCTCTTGCACTTGAACATTTGAAAACTAACACATCTCAGATATCAAGCAATTAAAGATTTTAGGAAAACAAGCACCCCTGTGTAATAAACTGATTACAAGAAGAAATCGTGTAATATTTAAAATTCAACCTATCACCTAATCGTTATAATTATTACACTTTTTTCAGCATCAAATGTGGAACAGCATTAAGTAACAACATGTTTCTAATTCAACTTCTTCCTAAGTTTGAAATTACACTACCACATGTAGTCAAGAGTCAGAAACCACAAGTTTCAATTAAAACATTAAAATCTGAAACCTTGATGAAATTAATTTGGTTATCTTTTCTCCAAATACCGTAAAACCTCGAATTGAAGCCCTGGCTTCTTATTTTTTTTGCGAACTTTGGATGGACTTCTTTTTGAAATGGGCTTCTTTTCAAGGCTACTTTTGCGAAGTAAAGAAGGGGCTTCTTTTCAAAATGAATGCTGTAAAAATTGGGAATTACTACTATAAAACAATGAATAGGGCCACTGTAACATCAATCTGTATCATGGAGTGTATTAACTTGCATTAAATCACCTAACTATTGGATCTCGAAAAAAAAGCCCATGCTATCTTGAAAATTAGCCCATTTTCGAGATAGGCTACTTTTCAAGGGTACTTTTGCAAACTAAAGAGGAGATGCAATTCAAAATGGGCTTCTTCTCAAGATTAAGCCCATTGGGCTCTATTCCAAGTTTTATGGTATGTGAACACAACAAAGTCATGATAATATCATTTCAGAATTTATGCTTTTCCACACAATATGGTCCATGTAAGTGCAACTTTTAGTAAGTACCATTTTCAAAAATGTTCTGAGATAAAAAAAAAAAAAAGGACACTTTTCTTATCCTGAATAACATCTGACAATTTAAATAATTAGAGTCCATTCAATCATTATCAATAACATTTCTCTCGATTTTCCAAACATTAGAAGCTCATAGCTAAGGACTTCTTTGGCCATTCCTTGTTTTATAATACATTAGAAAAACTAATAACAATACATATATAATTTTTAAATACTTAAGGGCTACCTCTAGATGATTTCGTTCCAAAATGAACAAGTCTTGCTGACCATAACCCTACTACAGTATCTATAATAATTTTTTCCAAAATGTGAGAAGACATACGGTGTTGCTGTTAAATGCTACTCTACTATAGGACTAGTACTTTGTATCAAGTATCATTCTACTTTCAGATCTGTTATCTGCTTCATGAGGTACTGTTTTTCTTCTTTGAATTGGTCATCTTCGGTTCGGTCAGTTTGGAATTGAGCAAGATAATCAACCAGACGATTTTTGTTCTTGAACAGTATGTTCTGGATCGCTTTGTCTTTTTCTGGATTGGCCACAAAAACCTGAAACATTTCATAGTTAAACAGATATAAATACTTTAATTTCATACATACATTGTCTTAAAATAAAAGTACATTTTGTACAAGTATTAGTTTAGTATACAGTATAATGGTTTTTGAATGAACACTTATATATAAAAAATATTATTAAAACAAAATATATTTTAAAAAAAAATAACAATAATGTATAATAATGTTATTATTACAAAAACATGTGACACGTCGAAATATGGAGATGAGGACACCACATCATGACTATATAGAGGAACATCATGACTATATATGGGCAAACAACAGTTTCTTGTCACAAACAATTGGTAATCTGGATAGATCTTTACTTCGGTCAAATTATATCACTGTTTGCACTTAAGATTTAAATACTCTACACAGTAGGTTTTAAAATAGTAAACTTTCGCATAGTCAGTCTAACTGTAGATATATTTTGTGTCAAAAGTGTTGCACACAGTAAATATGCGCCCACGAAGATTTAACCAAGTTGCCCTATTCGCATTGAGATTTTCTTGACAAAAACAACCTGATATTCTTTCTGGACAAAGTTTCATTGATTAGACTTACGATGCAACTTGGGTAATTTGACAAAGGAAAATGTTAATGCAGGTTAGGTTCTTCAGACTCCATGGATTTTTTAGTCAAACTGAGCAGATACAGTACATGGTTATTTGAACTAAAAGGTCTAATATGAGCAGGGCTTTAATAATCTGCCAAGAACTCCAGGTACTTCACAATGCACACTAGTATATGAATACGTACAATAGCATATAATTGTCAAAAATTATGTACTATAATTGTAAGTATTTGCATACCTGCAATATAGCATACAATTGTGGGTATGTACAATAGATTTGATAAATTAAAAATACGTAGAATGTAGCAGGTCTTATACTTGGGAAAACAAAACATCTAACGTTAGGGGTTTACAATTTGGACGGGATCTACTTCAGATACACATGCTAATACCAAAGTACACCACTTAGATTATAATTATTATTAATATATTAAATGTTAACATTATACTAAATTTTCAACATAAAGCATGCATTGCAGACATATGCAGCCACATACGATACTGCGAACAAACAGGATAGACCAAGAGATGCATTGCAAGTAAAAGGAGGGTGCAGAAGAAAAACAATTTTTTATCTATAATAAATCTATACAATTTGCCTTCCAATTCGAGACCACCTTGGGATCTGAAAATTTGGGGTGGTCTCTGGGTTCAGTCTTCACATAGAGGGTAGCTTAGTGACTGAAGATCGTACAGTAATTTGGTTCTTTGAATATGTGGTCTCGAATTAGAGGGGTCTTGGAATTAGAGAGGTCTCAAATTGGAGGGCGTACAGAAGGACAGACAGACTGTGCAGAAACAGCTAATAAAGACCACTGAGTGCCAGTTTTCAGTGGTCATTAACCCTTTCCAGTCTGCCCCATTACCATTGCCTGAGGCTGTATCAAAGCTGAGAAATTACATCATCTACACTAAAGGTCGAGTTTTTACTGGGCGCAGTCATTTTATTTGGTCTAAATACAGTAGGCCTTTACAGAAATACTCCTACATCACTCTCAAAAAATCCTATAGAGGGCAGCCTAGCTATAAAATAATTATCATGAAATCAGAAATGTATACAGGGCGTCGTTGCGACGCCATACGACTGTAAAGGGTTAATTAGAGGGTGACCTGCATTTCCATATTTCCCTAACATACTTTGTAAGAGTTTTTATTTTGTATTTTCCAAAGTCCAAAATGACAAGGTAAAACAGTTATTTACATAAAAATAGTTTTTATATTATATAAAATCATCATTGTTGACACCAGTTTTATTATATTCTATAATTATTTAAGGACTTTGCAAAAAGTTTGACGGTGAGGTAGCAGGACAACTATAGTATTGTATAACATGCATATATGATGTATTAAAATGATTCAATTATATTTACCTTAAAAACATGGAAGGCCTCAAACTGAATATTTCTGCTTTTGTCTCGCAGTAAGGTCATCATTAATTTGAGATTCTCCACATTGCTAATGTACTTTTTCATTGTCGTAAAGTTGTGACGATCTAGTAAAAGTTCTCCAAGCAGCTATGATTGGCCAAGTTAAGAAACAAAAACAAATGAGCAGAAATGATAAGAAGGTTAGTAAAGATGATAACTGAAATAAAATAAGGTTGGATTTGGAATCTATTAGTGTATTACTGTTCATTATTTTATGCTCCTGCGTAATAACTATGAAAGGCCAAATAATGAAATGAAGAAAAATGAAATCTATTAATAAGAAAAAAAAAATTAAAATAAAGCCTAATAAAATAAAAAAAACAAAACAAAACAAAAATGAGAGATTTAAGAATTGTTAAATTTGTATGAAAAACATTTACCAAAATAAATATATATGGAAAGCAAATAATGTAATATTTAATGTTAGCAATTAAAGAAACAAGTATTCAATGTTTACTTGGAGGCGTTTTTGTGAACGAACCATTCACTATACTCCAGCGATCACTAGCGAAAAGTCTTACAAAATAACTTTAAAAAAAATACTGTAGATTCTTGAAAATTGTATTTCTCAAATCGCTGTTATTAAACATTTAGGTATCAACCTTTTCTTGTGATCATGAAATGTAGGCTTGTTTCACCACACTTCGAGCTCCTGGAAAAGATATATTGTGAATATGAAATGTATGCCCAGTTATGCCAACCACTAGACTCTTGGTAGAAGTGCACTGTGAATATAAAATTTGTGTCTGTAGCGGTGCCAGGAATTCCCCAACAAAGGAACCAAGGTCCATGGAGGTGACAGAGGGTTCTCAACCACACCATGGATGAAGCAAAGTTTGCTTTTTCTTAATTGGTTGGGGCTAAGAATCAATTATTTTAAGTATGTCTAGATGTCTGAAAATGACATCCTTAAGGCTTTGGAAAAGCATCTTAATTTAAGAATTGAAAGTTCATATTAGAAAAATACTACTAGAAAATTGGCCCACCACGAGAAGATACTGTGTTATAGCCCAACATAATAACAGGTCTTCACCAACTTACATGGGTTATAATTGTTATATGATATGAATTGTATTCTATTTCATTGTAAATTATTCAAAAAAATGTGATATTTCACCAAAGGTTTCAGATTTTAAGTGGCAGGTGTGAGAGCTTGAGATTGGCTCTGAATGAATGAGTTTTATGCCAGATGCACACAACTTGGTAGCCATGAATGTTGGCCTGTCTTAACACACATTTAGCAACTGGTGGATATGTACTGTGAAAAGTAATGTATGCTTTTCTTTTTTATCACATTCTGAGAAACCTCTAAAGTTGTACTGTGGATATACTGTAATCCTTAATTACCACACTTCAGCTTCTAGTAAAAATGTGTTGTAATTATAACATTTAATTGTTCAGGCCACTATACCTTCAAAGACTGCCTTCTCGTAACATAGTTATCAGAATCCAGAAGCTTTTGATAATGTTCAAACACTTTGTTATAATTTAGTTCAAGAAATTCCGCAGCCAAAAGCTTATGCTTTGTCAAAAGATCCTGAAAGAGAGAAGAATATTATTAAATAAAAATATTACAAATTTTGGAATAAATATGAATTACTCTTTTATAAGTAATTAAGAGCTTAAACATAGGATGGCTACATTTTGAACAAGCATATAGAACAAGGATCAAAATGTTAGCTCACCAAAAATGGTTAAATGTTATGAGAAAGCATTTAAAAAAAATGTTTATTACATTTTAGGATAAAGAAAAATACAACAAAAAGCCCTCCAAGAATTATGAAAATTGTACAACAGTATCGAGGGGTCTCCAATGCAAACAAAAGTAAAAAACACGATTAGAACATCAAAATACATTGAAAAATACAAAAATAGTAAATAAAAATTACAAAAAAAAGATCAAGAATAAATTGAAAAAAAACATTAAGGGTTTAAGAAAAATACAAAACATATAGTAATTGTTAAAGGCAAATATTCAATAAATAATGTACAATTCATTCAATTATTAATTTAAACTACAAAAATATTATTAAAAGCAATTCAATAAAAATTCTAATTGATCAAAAACATTCATTCAATAAAAAATTCAACAAAAACACAACTTATGAGCAATTCTTTAGACAAAAAAATGAAAATATTTCATTCATTAGTCAATATAAGCTAGTAATGCCTTGTTAAAGACATACAGTATATTCAGTAATGTACAAATATCTTACCTTGAATGTTGCAAAAGCGTCAGAGGCTATGTCAAACGTTGACATTTCAACGTATTGAAAGAAGTCATAAAATCTTTCCGAATAGAGAATAGTCTTAGCTAGTGTCTCGTGCCTAACGCATTCTCGGAGCATCATACCGCAGTTTAACGCAATCTCTGGATTCTGATACCTATGGGAAAAACAGATATTCATTTGTAGAATTGTTTGTGTCTACTGTCCCACACTAAGCCAGTCTCAGGAATGATGAGATGATGGGATGCGTAATGTCTAGAAAGAACAATATGTTACTTGTACATTCAAGTGAATTGTCAACACAGAAAGCTTGGATGGGTTGTGAGTTAAAAGTAGCCAAAAAAAACTATGTCAAGCAGTAGTCACACCCTCCCACTGAGAGCCTATTTTCTATTGTGTGCTGCAACAAAACTGCCATTGGGCCCATGTGGCCTGCACTTTGCCTTCAGTGATTCAAGAAAATATGCTGTAATCGTCATTATGAGAACTTTATATGACTTACCCCTTGACTAAAATGAACAGCAACTCTTCTTTGGAACAAATATACTCCACAGTTGGTGAGCGTGTTCCTATTTGTCTTCTAAGCATGTTGTTGAAAATCTGAACAACATCCTTCTTGGCCTGAATAAAAGTTATTTAAAAAAAATGATTACTCCATATCAATTTTGTTGTCATTGCAGAGCAGTGATCAAGAATGGAAAAAAAAATAACTGGGGGATTTAGGAGGTCATCTACTGGGTCATCTATTATCCTCAAGAATGCATGGCTTGGTATAGTACTGTTGCTTTTCTTCACAAATAAAGCACAACTAATCAGGCTCCAGATATAAATCAAAAACAAATCTTACAAATACGATCAATCAGATTGTAAACAATGTCTTTGTTTTGCTATTAGAGTAGCTTTTCTAAACACACCTTCTACATATAATCTTTCAAAAAAGAATGAGGATGACGCATAGTTCACTTGTGCTTGGCGCCAGGGGCCAACTGTTACATTTTATGTCGGAGTGTTCTCGTTTAGGAGTGGAATAGGCAATTAGTCAGTTTATTCAGTAATCACGAAGTAGACGGTCAATTTTCATTTAGAGGTAGTAATCTATTTTTTCCTACATCAAGAAAGTGCAAAACTATTTTCTATGACTGTCTCCCCAAAGAGTACATAATATTGATTGTTGTTGTGAGTTAATAATCTTTTCTTCATTTTTATAACATAGTACATATACACTGTTGACTCCCTCCTTCTAGAGGATGTTTTGAAAATGAAGAAAATAAAGGTAAGGAAATAGTAGGAGACTAACCAAAACTTATAGTGTCAATGTGCTGAATTGCATATGGGCGTGGTCCTTGACTACCTGACTGGTGTAAAGAGGCGTTTATTTTATAGTAGCTACATGGACGATCCCTTTTTAATCTACTTACATTCAATTACTCACTCATTCAATTCTCTCAATAATAATTTTTTCATTTATTATAAAGGCTTTTAATAGCTGAAGATGGAAATCAGACTGCACATGTAAAGTTTTTAATTTATCCTTTAACGAAATCGTTCTCTGGTAGCAGCCTACCGTGAACAAGTTAACATTATATACTACAAACTCTACCACCACACTCTTATATGCTACAAACTCTACCACAACATTCTTTACACAAATCAACTGTTGTTAATTACCTCAAAATCGAGCCTGTTCAAATACACTACAAATACGACAAGCATGTCATAATTGTATATCTCCTGAGCAAGTTGAGCCACTAGCTCTGTCTGGGGCTCTTGGTCACCAACACCATATAGAATATTCTTCATACCAACCAGTGTCTTGGCTATGTCATCTAGGGCCTGAAGACAATGAATATTATTATTATTATTATTAGCTTTGTATTGTGGTTAAACTCGATAGTGCAATCTATTTGTTAACCTCCAATTGCCAATTGTGTGTATAATGTTGGTTTTTTTTGGCAATAAAATTTGAAAGTAAGAATAGTAATTAATACCAATAAATAATGAACAGGTAATATACAGTATTGATTATTTATATAAAGGTGCATATTGATATAGCTCTATATGCACCTTTCTATAAATCATTATTTATTTTATTTATTTATGCACACAACACATGCATCGAAATGGCTCTACATGCACCTTATATAAATCATAATTTATTTTATTTTATTTATTTAGCACCATAGGTTGTCAATAATGAATATATCACTGTCCTAAGGTGACAATCCCCTTCACACTGACAATACACACACGATGTTTTACATAAAGTAAATTTCAATACGAGGTTTAGGGTGTGGCCTTGTTTTGGTCATAAGAAAAAATAGTGAAAAACACACAGGAATTGAACCCAGGACCTTGGGATTGGAGGGCAAGCATCTTAACCACCAAGCTGTTTAACTCTACTCCACCAACCAATGTCTTGGTTGTCATCTAGGGCCTGAAGACAATTACTGTAACAGTAATTTATAACAACAAATAATGGAGAGGTTATATTTATTATATAAAAGGTGCATTGATATACCTCTATACTCCTTACTGTTTCCGTCACTGGAAACCTACATTTTCTCAACTCAAAGCATAGTTACCGTAGGCGCCTCAAAATTCTACCTGTGTATGTAAACAGTGGCGTACAGTAAAAAGCTATGAGCTGTCACTGGCTAAACTCAGGGGTCCCAGTCCAGGAGCCCCGGGGCTTGAGGGGGCCCCGAAATATTCATTACTGTAGCATTTTTCATTACGCCCGAAATCAAAGCGCAGAACGTAAAATAACAGCAGTTTTCCTCTTACCCCACTTGACTCTTTACCAGACTCGCCCCTGGAGTAGAGGGCCCTACAGTATTAGGAAGCCTTAGCCTGGGTCCCAGGCCTATTTGTTATGCCATTGCATGTAGTAAACACTTTTTTCTTTACCTTGTCATATTTTATTTCTCATACTTGTTCCTTTTCTATTGAAACATATCACAAAAAGCACAAACTTTTTTGCAATATCAAAATTCCTAATAAAAAACAAGAACATACTTTTTCTGTTTTTTTGCTTGATTCATCTTTCTCCAAGACTGCAGTACTGTCTCTCAGAGCCTTCACCAGTTCAGCTGGACTCCTCTTTGAGCTGCCAAACAAAGGCATCCTGTGGACAGCTCTTGTACAATTGGTATGAAGGTGAAAGGTCAAAATTCTCCCTTGAAGTGGAAGAGGCCAAATAGTAACCTTCAATCCTGTGACAGAAATGCAATTAATATAAGAATAAATTTTAATTAAATAATAGACCATCCCCCTTCCCACAGGGAGGCTAATTAACATCATGAATACTGTATATCATTGTCCAGAATGTTCGTCGGTAAACTAAAGTGGTATGCAAACATGTGGTATGGTGACATGTGTACACATTGCACTAATAGCCACATGATAACATCCTTACTTCACAATGCACATGCTCAGTAGAAAGAATAAGCTATGATTACACGCAATAGGAAAATTATAATGGACAAGATTATGATATTAATAAATGCATTTACTAGGAGTCATGTGCAATGCATACCATCCAATGGCTCCCAAAAAACTTGAATGCTTTGCATTTCATCCCCTTTATAGGTCAGTAGGCCTACTTCTCAGGCCCTCCTAGCATGGAGTTTTAATGCTATAATTTACACTTGACTCAAATGTATTCAAGCAATCATCATTATACCAATCATCCTCTCAGTGTGTAATCTGGATAGTTTTACACCAAGTGTTAAACAGGAAAATTAATAGATATCATTTTCATTGGTACAACAAACTGGTAAACCTTTTAAAAGTGACATTAAAATATTGAATTGCTTACAAAGATCAAACAATAAGTAAATTCCAATGAGGTACATTAAGCCCATTAAAATTAATTGTTGGTTTCACGTCCATGATTTGGGATTATTTTTGATAAGGGTATCTATACTATTTTCTATAGTGGTAAACAGGCATGGCTAAATAATTTTTTTTTTCCATAAAATAAAATGAAGTATAAAGATAATCTTTGTAATGTACTTTGCCATTGTGTTACCACCTCTTCATAGGCATTGATAACTTTCAGACTGTCATTATTTTTATTTTCCATAAAAAATAATTTTTTAAAAAAAGTAGCAATAGTAAATTTTTCATGGGGCAGAGACGTCGAAACTAGCAATTAATTTTATTTGGCATTAATATGAAAATTCCAATTGATATCTAGGCAAGCATATGAAATTCAAGTTTGTAATTAATAGTTTATTCACATAAATTTGGTAAAATTCATTATTATTAAGCTACGTTTACACAAGACACAATAACTATAAAAATGGGTTCAGTGACTAGGAACTTTTCGATTTTCACGTCAACATAGTCGACGTCTTGACATGATGTCATTTTCAGGCAATGCACATGCGCAATCGACAGCCCTCATTCACCACTAGATTTGAGAACGCGTTCACTCCTTTATTCACCGTCGACCCAAATCTACTCACCCTGTTGACTGTATGACGTTATTTTTTCAAGATGGGCGATACCGGACCTGCTGAAAGGATCTTACTAGGCCTAAGTAGAGGCCTAATTCTATGCAATTTTTAAAGTAATTTCATCTCTGACATCGAAAAATTTTACAGTTTACAGGTCAATTAGCATTGTACAAAAGCACAAACTTTTCATCGTCAAGCACATTGCTGAAATATCTGAAGAGGATCGCTTCTCAGATTCGCCATGCTGGTAAGGCATGATCCTTGCCCAGAAAGTTTTACCCCCGATATGCATGACGTCATCATGTTGACTCCTCATCAACTGAAATCGAAACTGCGGTGGACCATCAAGAGCAGTGAACATGTCGACGGTCTCCTGCATTCGACGTGAACGTGCTCGTCGTTCACTCAAATCGAAAATTCCCTAATATAAACGATGCGATGATCATGTCGTGTCATTATAATGTCTAGTGTAAATATAGCTTTATACTGCATGAACTGCAGAAACGATCTTTTTTGTAGTATATAGGCCTATTCACACTGACGTTTTGATCAGTGGCGGCGCCACCAGCGGCGGACTTAAGTCCCTCCACCGGACCGGTCAAGCTCCCCACCGTCGGACAGACCTCTTTAGACAGTCAGACCATAAAAAATATATAAATAGGCCCACGCAAAGCCAACGCATGTGTGCAACAGACTGCCATTTCCGGGCATCCAGAGGTTGCTATTCTTGAAAAAAATCTCATTTAGAAGGTGGACCCTCTCTCAACCCCTTCCCCCCAGCTCGGGCATATGATCTCAAGTCCCCCTGTCGGACAGCTTAGTCCCCCAGAAAATAATATCCTACAGCTGTCACTGGTTTTGCCTCGGACCCCACTGGAAAGAAATTAACGTTTGTTGATTTTATGGGTCGTCCATGCATCTATTCTCTGTTTAATAGGCAATTTTTCTCTAAATTTTGTATGTCATTGTTTTTCTAAAGTATGTTGTTTTGTATTTAATGGATGCTAAATAAAGTAATATAAAATTACTCCCTCACAGACTGTGACAACTACAGCAAAAACAAATTAGGTTTGGGACCTAATTTGGCAAAAAAAACGTAAATTGACATGACCTCGGAACAACAAGTTTTAACTTCAAGACTTGTTTCTCTGACCCTGGGAGGCCAGGCTACTGAATGTTTTCTGTTCCTTAAGCCTTACAGAACAGCCCTGAAAAAATCCTAATGATTTCCTTTGTACATGTGTTATGAATAATCAGCTGGACCACACCCACTTGATCACCACTATAGGGACCTGGCTAACACATGACTTGTTAGGTCACAGGAAGTTTCAAAGAAAGAAAAATTACATTTAATTATTTACTATGAAAATATCTAAAAAACATACATTTTGTCTTAAAATGGATGAAGCTGAAATGCTCATTCATATTGTTTTTGTCCTATAGTACAAAATGTAAAAATCTAAAAATAAGTAAAAGGTACAATATAAAATTAATTGGCATTATTCTCTAGAGGCCATTTGTTACTTGGACAGATACTGAACATAAAATTAAAATACTAAATTTAAATAGTTTACTCTAATATTTATTTTTTCATGTGAAATGAACTAAACTTTTGAATTAAATAAATTAAATTAACATAATTTGATGCTCCTATCTAGTACAGCAAAATGTAGTAAACTAGAGGACTTGCACAGACACATTACACAAGCAGACATATATATTGGAACTGTTTCTTTATTGTCATTGTTTCTCGTTTCTTCTTGATCTCTTTCTTAATTGGTTTTGGTTGTCTTCCTTCTTTTTTCTATTTTCTCTTTTGAAATTTCATATGCATTTTGTGAATTATAAGCAATTCAGTCTTTACTGTGATTTGAAGATACTGTATTATTGAAATAAAGAAGATAAAGAAATAAAGAAAATAAAGAAATAAAGAAAATGTGTTTGGCCACAGTTAAGGTCAAAAGGTGTTTCATTTCACAATTTACATCTTCAATAGAAATCCTATGGGAAATTATATTAATTCTGACAAAGGTCAGTTTTAGTCCACAACACTTGTATGTATAATTCATAGTTTTGTTTTCAGGGTTAATTAAATTTATGAAACATTCATTATTGCAGTGAATCAGCCTTGTGTGTTCCTGTTCCTCCATAGTTTTTTACAGTTCAAAAATACAGGAAATTGGGATTTATTTTTAAACACCTTCTAAAATCAGCCAAATGCTAATTCTAAAATTATATTGAATGAACGCTATAACATGTATTTCTTCTGAAATTTTTCTTGATATTTTTCATGGGAAAAATTTTTAATAATATTGGAGAAATAATAGAATGGATTTTATTAGCAATTGAAACAAAATGTACTTTAATTTTTAATAACATTTTAGGGGTGAAGGCTTAGTATGGGAGGGTGGAAGTTTTTGAAACCTGGTATTTAAATCAATCAAAGTTAATAACTGACCAATCAGAATAGAGCCAGTAATACCTGCTTGTCCTGCAAACGTGTTTGCGCATACACTGTCACTTTGTGGAACCTTAATAACAATAATCATCGACTGATGTAGATTCATCTATCCAGGTTGACAACAATAAATATCAATTAAAACTTTATATCAATCATCATGGGCAGGGATTAACAAAAATGTTATGGTAAGTACTATAAGCATGTAAATACCGTAAATGCTTGAATAAGCGCCGCCTATTTTAGAGCGGCGCTTATAACAAAATATTGGCGTGGCAGTTTACATGCCCGTTCCCATGTTCCCTATTTCATGTTCCCGTAGTTCTGTAGGTCCCATCATTGTAAATTAATGTCTATAAAGAAATACGTGTCTTTTTGTGAATTATTCATTTTAACAACATTGTATTGTATTGATTGTATTTCAAAACCCTGTTTCTCAAAGTGTTTCATTACAGACATCATAATATTATACAGTACTCTCAAGTAAGCGCTACGGCGCTTCAGGAAAAAAAGCATGCTTGGTGCGAAGCATAATCGAGGGCGGCGTTTTCGAGAGCGGCACTTATTCAAGCATTTACAGTAGTTCCTAGGCCGCCCAAGTATAAAAAATAGTGGGATCCTACCAATATCCCAGTTGTATTTTTATTGGGGCTTCCATCTAATTGAAGAACAAAAAAAATTAAGAGGAAGAAACAAATACAAAAAACAACTGTACAGTAATCAAACAAAATTATTATAATGATTATATTAAATTTTCTGTCACTTTTTATTAAATTAAATTACTCTAGTCATGATATTTGAAATTAAACAGTCGTGTAGGCCTATCTATTTGAATAGCATCTGGTTTGAATAAGTTAACATCCATTGTAACAGTAGTGTAGAGCCATGCTTCCCAAACTATGGGCAGCAACCCAAAAATGGGTCGTCAAACTTTTGCGTTGGGTCGCGAGCAGGTTTGCAAAATACAATTCAATTTATGTGCTCATTTTCAGACAGTTGATGTGAAGTTTAACAGGTCTGACGACTTAAAAACAGTATTTTTAGGTGAATCTTCATTACAATGAATATTTTTAAATTAATAGGCCCTCCCCCCCCCCGCCCTATGACCCTATGACTACAGTATAATTTTTCTGTTGCCATTTACCAAAACATAATTGTGTAAATCTAAGCTTTCAACTGCTTAAAAATAATTTACAGAAATATACGTAAAACAGAAAATTACTGTCAGGTGACCTAAAAGTATTAACAATAATTACCCAAATGAATCTCAAATGTGTAACTAAACTATTGCAAATTCAAACAATAGGCCTAATAATACCAAAAAGCCTGTCATACATTTTGGTTGATAAGATAATACAGTAGTCAATGGCGTATCAAGGAAGGGGCCTCAGGGTGCCTGAGCGTATCCCTCCTTCAGAGGTAAAAAAAAAATTAAATAAATAGCGCCCCTTTTGAAATGTTAAAAAATTACTGACATAAATTTAAAAGTCCTCAATTCCAAAAATGTTCTCACCTTAGCTTCAATCATGATGGGGCTCAGGTGAATATATAATTTTCATAGAATCTTTGCAATTAAAGTCTCAAATTCTTACTATTGTCTTACCTCAGTCTCAACCATGGTGGGCTAAGGTGGATGGTAGTTTTCATGAATTTTAAGTATCCAAAAGCCGTTTTCGGGCAACTATAAAATCTCAAATTCTTAAAATTCACTCATCTGCGCCCCAAAACCATGGCGGGGCTCAGGTGGATATCATAGATTTTGTACTATTCAAATGCTATTTTCTGGTATCTATACAGTAAGTCTCAAATTCTTATAATTTATTCACCTGAGCCCCAACCATGGTGGGACTCAGGTGGATATGGTAGGTTTTGGAATTGTAAGTATTTAAATGCATTTTCAGGCACCCAGGTATTTAAATAATTAATTTTTTATTTTACTCATTTTGTCAAAAATAAAAAGAATTAAAATTAAATGGTAATTAAGTCCCATTTGCAGGCATCCAAAGGTACAAAATGCTGAAAAAGTTTGCGTGTCACCGCCAACCAAGGTGGCGCTGACTCAATTTCAGTCAGCATCCCCTTCCTTAAATCCTGGATCCGCCACTGGTAACCACATACTTAAAATTTAGGTTTAAGATCATTAAATATATAATAAGGTTGAAAATATTTTTTGTAAAATTTATTTTCGTTTCAAATATATTAAAAGTTGTCTCATTTTCCAGTGGCGGATTCAAGGCTCTCTCTTATAATATTTGTATCAGTTAAATATTAACAAATAATAAATCAAATGTACTGAAATCCTGAATGTAACAATTTTAATAGAATTATCATAATTACAGAATATGGCCTATGGTAAGATATCCATCCAAGATCATTATTATTAAACATGCTGGTACAACAATCATTCTCTTTAGAATGCAAGACAGGTTATGCTTAGGCCAACAATAGCCTTAGTACCTAGTTCACACATTCTCACCTGAATCTAGATTCTTACAATTACAATGATTTGATAATAACCAGTGCACCTAATTTTAAAATGGTAAAAATGCCCAATGATGAGAGGACCAGTGCTCTGAAGACCAGGCCACTATAAAGTAAAATACAAAAACTATAGAACAGAAAAGAGGAACGATAAGGAGCCTTTATCCAAGGTCACGCTTATGCTCTCTTACTACAGTAATCCAACTGTACCATATACCTCATACAGTATAGTGCACATGTTTATTTCCGATAGTCCAGGAGAATTTTTGGTATACAGAACTCAAGCCCAAAAGCAAAAAATAAACAAAATTAAATCAAAATTAAATAAATACTTTCACTGATTATACAACAGAATAATTTTATTCAGAACATGAGAATTCTAATTTAAATCAAAAAATTCTAATTAATTCTAATTATTCATTATTAATTAAATTTCCTTGTATGAATGTCCTATTTTTTCACAACACAGTTTTTGGAAACTGTACAAACCAAAAGAAACCCCCAAAACATGAGATTGAGCCAATATCTTAAGCCTAACACAACCAAAACAAAAATTATCTCATTTTTTAAGATGGTTTGAGGCCACGATTAGGCCTATAATAGGCCTAGTCTATTTTGACCAAGACTTGACCTAGCCTAGTGTAGGGACAAGCACTGGGCCCTATGCCTAACCATGATCAAGTTCATGCAGTCACTGACATTTTGGAATCCAGTATGACCCTTAGTAATTAGTATTGATCTCAAAATCAAATTACAGCATAGGCCTAGCCAAGCCCAGCTTAGTTAGGTAGCAGGAAGGGTGGCAATCTTAAAACATTGTTATTGGATTTAAATATTCATACAAATTACAAACATGTAATACAATTAATTACCTATGCCTAGGCCCTTAGTCATAGGCCTAGCTAGGCCTCTTCTCTGTCTCAGACTAAGACTAGGCTAGGCCTAAGCCTTAGGCTAGGCCGTTCCCTGGCCTAGCCTAGGCTACTACACTAGGGTCTAATTCCTACATAATTATTAATATAATAGTCTAGCATAGGCCTAGCCTACCACTCCAAAAAAAGTCGAAACATGCCAAGTGGCTAGGACGGACTAGGCCTAGGTATACCTGAGGTAAACCTTCAAGACCTAGGCCTATGCGTACCGCCTGGGCAAGGTCTACCGACCGGTGTACGGGCTAGGCCTAGGCTAAGGAGGAGGCCTGTTCTCTGACGATTGTGTTAGCTCTCCAAAGGGATGGTTGCAGACATATTGTAAGTAAGTAAGGAAGGGGCTTGCTTCATCGAAAATATAACACACTGCAAAAAATTAAACATATGCATGTACACATTTGAAAACAGTTTCTCTAAAGGCACTTACTTCACCAATCTTGATATTAGTAGAACAGACTGTAGGGAACACACTGTAGTCTTGCTCCTTTGGCCTTTTAGGCTACTTTGGTAAAATCTATGCAACTGTTCTGTCCGGCTTTTGCTGGAGTCGAGTAATCTTTCTTCCGAACTCACACAAAACGAAAATATCATATAGCGCCCTCTATAAATCCACTTGCACACGCCTATAACACTTCCAAAAATAGGAAATGCCGTCAGACAGATTCGTTTCGTTTACTTTACTCCTCTTAAGTGTTCAATTTCCTCTATACAATTAATGTTATACTGGCAATTAGGATTAATTTATTATTTCTTCACATTAGATGAGCAGCTGTTGGACATATGGTATCTTTATAATTCATCTTGTATAACAATCAATTAAACATCTTAGGCCTAAATGTTAGGCCCGACGCACCCGTCCACCTCTCACCACCCCCATATCCTTTAATTACCAACCGGGTCCACATTTTCCGGGGTAGAAAATTCAAGACTCACTCTCGCACATTCCAGATATCCATCCACCAAACCTCCTTGACCATTCAGAGCAGTTTCCAAAGGGCCGCCTCTAATTCGGCGTGCAAGCAAGTACGACTTCAACTATATTCATTAAACTTTTTTAGAGGACTTTTGAGTTTAAAATCGTCTTTATTCTTGCTTGGAAATCATCTTGATACAGCATTCACGGATTTAGACCTTTGCACTGTTTGCCATGGAGGAAACGTCAAACAATACAGAAAGATTAATTGGTTGTCTAAAAAAAGAACAAAATATTAATGTGCAAAGAGTCAATACATCTCTGGATCTTTTAACCAAAGTCCATCCACATCAGCATTGACATAATAATACATCGTTGAGAGCTATGCTACACGATGTATTATTATGTCCTTTATTCGAACACTGTATTTACCTTTCTTTGATGATTTATATATATAATTTAACAGTGTTAACGGCTACCTTGATTTATATTTCAGTGTATGCTATTATTTGTTTCTAGCCGTACTTATTGTGTAATGGAGTGTATCTGGTGGTATTTGAATCTGTTTAAACCATGAAGCCTCCGTGGTCTAATGGTTATGACGCTCGCCTTGAAAGCGAGAGGTCGCAGGTTCGAGTCCCACCAGAGGCATTTTATTACACAATTTCTTTATTCATTTATTTATAGGACTACATTCGTTGCGAGCTATACTACACGATGTATTATTATGTCCTTTATTCGAACATTGTATTTACCTTCATTTGATGATTTATGTATATACATATATATAATATACATATGTATGTATGTATGTATCTCTTTGGAAATCGCGTCTCTCAAATGCTTCAAGAGGGTGTATCATATTGATCTTAATTGCCATGCATGCACCAAGAACTAAAGTGTTGTCTAATTACACATGAGTGTGAAGAATTAGATGCGTTATCGGATTCAAATTCCAAAGAAATCTTCAATTGGCTAGTTGGTTGAGGCGAAGGTCCCGGGTTCAAACTATAGGCCTAATATTCAATATACTGTAACTAAAATAACAATAACTTAACATTTTAGACAGAAAGCAAAATAAACAATAAACACTTAAAAATGTTCGTGTTTTAATGAGATTTTAATAAAAAGAAAATTTTCAGTAAATTACACGTACTAATGGGCCGTATAATATGGAAAATTAACATCCAAGGATTACAATATATTACAATTCCAAAATCATCAATATCGAACACTAGACGTAGGCATTATATAAGAAGACGTATAATAGCCTACAGGTGAAGTACATCCTCCATTCGGGACCCCTCTAAAGAACCCTCTAATTCGAGACCACTTTTCCAAAGAACCAAAAATAACAGTCTTCAATCTATTAACTAGTAATTAGCTAAACCTCCAATGTGGACAGGACCCCCTCCCCCTATTTTTTTTTAAAATAAAATAAAAAGAAAAATAGGAAAATTATATTCAAATTTTAAGTCTGAGAGTGATATTTCCGGTCATCTAGAAGTGCTACAATCATAATTTTCTCACCTCAACCCCACAACGGAATAAATACACACCCAAAACATGTGAATCCCTCCCTGGGCCCATCTATTTCAAATTTCTGGATCCGCCACTGTTTCAGGTCGCAAATGTGGTCAGAAATTGGAGGGCGAACTGTACCATTTTGATACCTATTTACACATTTACACATAGCATACACTGAAAAAACAAGCAACAAATTCTCGGTTATATAAGCTTATAAAACTCTACCTATCCTATCAAGTTGTATGCGACAAACTGTGTATTGCGTAAAGCATGATGATGTCACATCATATCCATATAATGTGGCATGATGATGTCATATCATATCCATATAATGTGGAATGATGATGTCATATCATCCATTCCGTATCACAGGTATAAAGCCATTACAGTAGAACCCCTGTTAAGGGGACACCTTCCGGACCAAAAAAAATATGTCCCCTATTAAGGGGACACTAACGAAAAACGTGAAAATGGTCGACCATTAATAGGGGTTTTTAGCATGTTCAAATGGATGACATACCGTACATTCTTTATAATTGTATTTTTTAACAAAGAATCAATAGAACTAATTTATAGTAATAATTTGCAATTTTAACTACAATGCATTTATAATATGAAATCAGCAGAAATTAAAACAATTGTTTTATATTTTCCCAAAATTATTCCATGATGCAATGCTAATGACCAATAATATTTTAAAAATATTGAACTTTCTATTGGTTGGATGTTTAGTGTAAACAGAGTAACGACTTAGAATTAAGGGTGCATGTTATGATATGGATATAAGAATCCTATATGAAAGTACACGAAAAAGAAACAAAGTCCCCATGGTTAAAGGTCAAAATTTTCATGTAATTCAAAATTCAGAAATCGTTGCTATTTTATTGTTCCTTTGAGCTAATAGAGAAAACTGCTCCATCAATACCCACAGGGTCATTTTTTGTAGGAGTCGTAGGAATATATAGTTCTTTTCTTGATTCTTTGATCTCGATGAACAAATACGATGTTATTCCAATCGCCAAAAAACTTACTAAGATAGCAAGTTTTGTTGACACGCACAGAAAGTTGCTATATGCAAATGACGCAGCGAACCCAACTGACTCCCATAAGCGGTAGTTAGAAAATGCTGCCTCCTGTCTGTCATTGAAGTACACACCGTATATTGCTGTGGAGATATGAAAAACAATAACCACAAATAGCATAAGCACTTAATAAATCTTGTTTCCAGAGTATTCTGGTTAAGCCCTTCATTTATTATATCTCTAAGTAGATGGTTTAGAAGAATGGACGCTGCCAAGAAATAATTAGCTAAACATCAAAGTAAACATTTGTGATCAGAAAATTTACCATTTATTTGTGTCTGCCAAATAGCATCACCAAACCCCCACACTGCTGCTACCACGAACAGAAATGCCAAGTCTTCATGTTCTGGGACCCATGTGAAGAAAACAATGATGATAACCGCTTGAGCTATGGCGCCGGAAACGAAGATCGGGATTCTTCCAGTGTACTTGGCAACACGACCACTTAATAGTGAAGACACAGAATCAGTCACTCCATAGCAGATCATTACGTAACCGACCCATCCAACACCACGTGAGCACGTTACAAAAGACTGGAATACAATATAATGCGCCAATTAATAAAAGAATCAAAGGTTCTAAACGTGTTACTAAAATTGATATCACAATTCTGTATATTATAAGCTGTAGTGTCTGTTTGAGCCTTAAGAATATAAGTGAATATTTAAAATTAGAAAAACATGCAGTTTTCCGCAAATGGACATTTCCGCTAAGCCACACCCCTTGGATATTGTTGCTAAGGTCCCACAAAACGACAGCGTTTAAAACATACGCAACTACCGGTGTGACTTCTAAGACGCGAGCGTATTCCTGGTCCTGTTCTAATTGGTCTGTTGTTAAGATTGATTAACACCAAAGAACTGTTAACACTCCGGGAAGGACGATTAACATGAGTCACACACATATTACCATTCCTATAATTGTCAGTTTAATATTTTTTGCAGCAAAACGCATATAAATAAAGATTAAGTTATAGGCCTACCGTTTTTTTTTTTTTTTTTTGCCAAGGGCAGAGTACATGTGTTGTTATTAATGTTATACCATTGGTCATTGGATGATGCACAAACCACATTTTACATGCATTTTGGCACCGTGGTTAACATTAAATGAGTAACAAGAAGGCCATAATAATTAGATATTCATGACCAATTCAAAGATATTAAACTAAGACAATATGTGTGGTACTGTATCTCTCTACGTTTAGCATCCTCCATCGCGAGTCCAGAGGGAATTGAAAAAAGAGCATGCAAGCGCCTGTCTCTTATACACATCTAGATGTGTATAAGAGGGCGCAGTGAGGATCAGGCTTAAGTGGCCCATGTTCACAGTAGTTTCCACAATCTCACAAGATTCAGAACCAGGTTGAACGAAGGAATATTAGTCTAAACTCCACCTAAACATACCGTCTATTACGTCATCCGTATGTACTATTACCTTTGTAAAATCTCCGGCTATAAAAGCTTGTTCTAGGCCACTGTATATTGTAATCGGAATCAAAAACAAAAGGCGTTTATCTTTCAATAAGCGTAGCGTTGCCATGAATAAATCACATTTCCCACCCTCTAGTGTTTGTTGCGATGGCTCCATTGGGTCAAGGAACACTACTATTAGAAAGATCGCCAGTAAGCCGCAGCCTGTATAGATTCCCATCAATGTATTTACTAACTTGTCTTCAATGTCATCGCCGCAATCGGTGATATTACTTCCTTCAGTATCTGTAATAAGCAAAATAACATTTGAAAGGAATACAGGGGGTGATCCAGAGATATCCGAAGGTGGGGAGGGGAGGTGCCGATAGAGAGACAACACTACCCTAAAGGGGGTCCGGAAAATGTTTGTTTCTAGACGCCAGGAAATAACCACTGATGCGTTTTGGGCGACCAATAATTTCGCTTTCTTTCTTTCTTTTTCTTTTTTCCTAAAATCTCTAAATCCTTCCCGGCAATGAAATATAATTCAATTTATTCCACAGAATTTTATTAAAATTTAAGTTTATTTAATCTTCGACTTCACGCCACCTCAACGTCAGGAGAGTGCGCTTTTCCCTTCCCGTACTTGCTCGCGGTTTGATGTTAAAACATTTTAATGCCATGATTGGTCGTCGTCTCATTTCATTCACAGATTGTTTGTTTATTTGTGATCCCGAACGGTAATCTGAAGTTTTTAAATTCGAATCACAACTGCATTGTAAGCAGAGTCGATAAAAACCTTACCTGGGCAGTCGTTAACACCACAAATTTGAGTTCCATCGTTTCGGAAGTCATTGTCTGGACCCTGTTGGAGCACGAGCGATGAAATAAGATTTCCCCAAATCTGAGCCGATTGAAACATCAAGAAGAAAATACCGAAGAAACGGTTTACCACAGCATCAATTGACTCCCCACCCAATTTCCCATACTTTATTCCAGATGTGGTCAAGTATGTACACTTTGCAGACCATAATGGAGCAGCACTGAATCCGACAAGTGCAGATGCCGGAATAAGGGTACCCCAGCCGGGCCAAAAGTTAGCAACCGAATACAGGGTATAACATGACATACTGGCAACAAGAGTCCATTTGAGACCAAGGATGCGGATAACAATTGATGGTAAGAACATTGATGATAATATCAGTGAAACATAAATGGTACTCAAAGAAGCCAGCCCGAGACCATCGTCACAATTGATGCTACTCTGTAGGTTTGATAGTGCCTGGAAGGCTGTGAAGAGGAACAGGAAAGCCAAGCTAGCAACCAATACATTTTTCATCAAACGTCGTTGGCTCCAGTCATTGTGGTCTGCAGATGATGTTCTCATTTGTGCATCCATGTTCATCTGATCCTATAAGAAAACAGCAAAATACATTTCTCTATTAGGCAATGGAACCAAATTTCCATATAATACAGTACTACGGTACTGTGCTGACCCCCATAAATGTTTGGAGAGCAGATTTAGCTGCAGCAGTCAGCTAAAGTGGCAGGGGAGGCGGCAGTATTTTCCCCACGTTGGAACCAATGTCCCCGACCGGGGGGGCGACCGGGGGGGGGGGGGTGGTGCGCGATGACCCCGACGAGAGCAAAGTGATCGTGGTTGGGTGTCGCTCAAAGTATTTTGAAAGTGGACTCGGAAATTTTTTACAATTTAGGGGTTTCAAAGGCTTATTTAATCGATTTTAGAGTCTACCGTGACTAATTTGCAGAAAATACAATTTTTTTTTCTCCCCGACGAATTGGGGTTTTTCTCCCCGACGGGGTGGGGGGAATGTTTCCATTGATTGCTGTAGATGTTTTATTTCCTTCACTCCAAACAGTAACTAAGCCTTCTACAACCCAGATGTGGTTAATAATGAGGTACCGTATAATACTTGAAATATTGAATTTAGTGATGTATAGAGGCATCCCGAGAGCAGACTGTCATTTTAGTTTCAGGACATGAACCGAAAGTCAAGTATCTTCACACCCAACGTATGAATAGAACGAATACAACTTCAATCTGAAATTATCGTTCAATTGTCATTCAAACTTCATATCGAAAAATACCTAGGAAAATGTATGAAAAACAACAAATAATATTAAACCTACATTATACTTTCGGCCCTTGAGACGGTAAACCTTAGACCAGAATAATATTTGCTAAAATCGTACCGGTATGTGCTCAGCAGGGACTTCACTGCTGTTGAAGCGGTTCTACTATACCTAAGCACTGCCAAAATATGTGTTCTACAGTATTGTATGTTCGACTAAGCATTCAAGCTTTATTATATTGTAAACATTGAAATAATAGGGAAGAACCCGCGGTAGGCTATGTCTATATCGTTCCTTTTTTTGTTGGCATAGCGTACCCTACCCTACCATTTTCTCGTCTTCATGAAATTGCTCAACTTATAGGCCTACACTACAAAGTAACGAAACGGAAGCAATGAATGAGTTACTTACTATCACGTTTATCAATCTTCTTTCCGATATCTATCTTTGTTGATTCTGTTTGAGACGGATTCGTCAGTTATAGTATTGATCCAATATATGAGTACGTTTCTACATTTCCTCTCTTTATCGCCACCAATTTAGCCTAATTGACAGTGTAACTAAACTAAAATCTGATTGACCCAAAGCTACCGCAAAGTTCAAATAAATTAAGTGATAATATCAAACAGATGGGGATAAAGTCTGAGTGATAAAGGGGTTTGCCCAACACGTGACTCAAGCCTTCCAATGAAAATTGTACAGTAGATCTCGACATTACTTGCGAGCCCGCCTAAAAGTAATATAGAAAAAATAATAAAAACAAAACAAGACAAGAGCACTTTGCTACATAGGCCTATTCAATTAGCGGCGGTGAAGTGACATCTCCTGCTGGAAAAGCTGGCGTTGTGAGCCTACACTGACAAAAAACAGTGATTTAGCTCCATACATCACTTGCTGGGTGACACGTTTAAAGTTGTAATTTTAGTTTACATTCGTTAACGCGTCTAGTCTAAACTAAACGGGCGCCTTTCCGGACCCCTGGATATTATTGCAAGTTCCCAAAAAATTGCGTAAATGACGTAATCACGTGTGCTTGCAATAATATGGGACAAGCGCGTATTGTTAGCCATGTGCTGATTGGTCAGTTGCTAATTTTGATTGACATTCCGGAACGGTCTGTTGATCTAGTGTGGCTCAGACATAGACTGTGTGCATCCTACGGTGACCGCACTGTATCGATTGTTCCCAGCATTTTCCCGGTAAGAAAGGCTAAAATATGCATTTAGTTCAATAATAGCAATGATGATAAAAATACTGATAATAATCGATCTTCTTTTGCAAACCATATATAGGCCTATAAATCGAATGCTTTTTTTTCATCAAGGCAAAATGACTTCCAAACTGCAGCAAATAACAGAGAGCGTTAACGTCGATCGTATAATAGGCCGCCTATGTGTTGGTTAGTGATTGACCTGTGAAGGAGTTGTTTCGTGTTTTGTAAATTTTGAAGGCTTCGGTAACCCTATACTAGGCTATTAAATCTCACCCAGGGCTCTAGGATATATTTTCTGGGGGGAGGGGGGATAAGTTGTCCGGCAGGGGACTTGACCTCGTAGGCTCGAGCTAGAGGAAGGGGTTGAGAGGAGGTTCTCCCTCCCAAATGAGATTTTTCTAAAGAATATCAACCTCTGGATGGCCGAAAATATCAATCTCAGACTGTGACAGACATGTGTTAGCTTGGTGTGGGCCTATTTTTATATGTTTTATGGTCTGACTGCCCGACGAGCTCTGTCCGGTGGGGGGGCTTGACCGGTTCGGTGTGGGGGGGGGGCTTGAGCCCCCCCCCCCCCCCGCTGGCGCCATCACTGATCTCACCACCGAGTGTGGTGAAGCTCTGATAAAACGTTTTTCGTAATCGAGATTACCCATGAATAGGCAGGCCCTCAATCCGTTAATTCTCATTGTTGTTGGCCACCATCCAGATTTTGGCCTACACAATATTGGATAACATATCAATGCAAGAAGGTGGTGGTGGTTGAATCAGTGGCGTGTCTAGTGGGAGAGATCGATGATTAAATGAGGGGGATTTTTGCAAAAAGGCGATACATGAGGTGATTTTTGACTACTCTAGTGCGATTATTTTTTTGTTTGTTTTCTTCGAAATTGTCATGGGGTTGGGGGTTGCTCCCCCAGTGCTCCTTAGCATACACCTATAGATACGCCACTATGTTGCAATAAAACCCCCGAGTTCACTTGCGGTGGTTACGAGCTGCAGAGAGCTGTGAAAGCTCCAAAGTTGCCCAATATGTTAACGTGAAGTACCGGTACATTGGGGGGGGGGGGCGACACATTGACGTATTATTTCAATTCATAAGATGTAGCGTACCGTAGCATTTATCGTAACCATCGACAGTTTTTTGTTTGTTTTTGTGACTGCATATTGCTCTCTTGTTATTAATAGTGCTATTATTATTGTTATCGTTGTTATTTTTTATTTTTAGCATTGTTATTGTAGGCATAACATGCATTTGTTGGCATGATGCGCTACTAGAACGACATTAATATTTAAATTCATAACATGTATAGTAATTATCGGCTTGCTATTGGTATTGCTATTGCTTTTGCTCGTGTTTTATTGATAATGTTATTTTTAACATAACAATAATGCGTAGTTGATTGCCATGATGCGCTATGGTAAGACCGACATTATTATTTCAATTCATAATATTTAGCCATTAAGCAATCATCGGCCGATTTTGCTATTGATATTGCAATCGCTATTGTTGTTATCGTTATTTATATTGTTAATTCAGTAATAATATTTAATATTATTATAAATGTTACAATTGTTAGGCCTATAATTATTAACTAACTATTATTAATTTAAACTTGTCCAATAACCATGGTAATGTGAAGCACGTGGGGGCAACATTACACTGTTATTTTGAAGGAGTTATTCTGTACCTAAAAAAAGGTACAGAACAACTCCTTTCGAGTTAAAATAACTCCTTGAAAATAACAGTGTAATTGTAATAGCCTATTTCAGTTCATAATATCTTTTATCCTATAACCATTTTGTTATTATTGTTTGGCATTGTTATTGTTTATTGCTATTGCTATCAATATAGCGTTATTATTGTTACCAGGTAGTTTTCGCCGCAAGACGTTAACCTTAACGTTAACGAATGACGTCATAATTTATTCATCTTGCGTTGCGGAGGACGTTAATTTCAGGATTTTACGTGTTTGACTAGTTAGTTACGGGTTTGCCCTTTCGTATTTCGATTTGTTTCCAAAAGGGGCGGAGCCATCGCGTTGTATGTTGGGTAATAACGTTAACGTTAAGGTTAACGTCGTGTAGCACAAAATTACCTATTGTTATTATTGCTGTTGTTGTTGTTAGGCATAACATTTATTATTATTATTATTATTATTATTATTATTATTATTATTATTATTATTTTTGTTGTTGTTATTATTGTTATTATTATTATTATTTTTGTTGTTATTATTGTTATTATTATTATTAATATTATTATTATTATTATTATTAATATTATTATTATTATTATTATTATTATTATTATTATTATTTATTTATTTTTTTATTTTTGGCATGATGCGCTATACTAAGAACGGCATTATTATTTAAATTCACAATATTTAGCACTTATAAAAATTTAAAAAACAAAATATAAAAAAATAAAAAAATCAATCAATTGTCAATTCAATTCAATTTATTATAAAATTCCACAAATCGTGGCCCGGAGGCCAGATTGCATGTAAAATTACAGGTAAAAACATATAAAACAAATGGCAGAAATATTTAAAAAAAAGTCATAAAAAAGACATATAAAAATGAAAAAAACAAACAGGAAGAAGATGCGGGTCCAAACACTGTATCAATATAATTGTGATAGCTAGTATTATTGTTAAAATTATTATTATCAATATCCAAGTCATGATGGGGTTCAAAGTCTTTAAACAACATGACAAATATACCATTATTGAGGTGAACTGTGCTAAAGTAAAAACTGTTGAATCGAGTAAGTTAATAAAATAGGGTATAGGACTGTACTAAATCGTTTGGTTCTAATTGGTAATTGTGATATGTTAGAAGAATTGCGAAGATTTCTCCCATGACACTCGTGTCTGGAGGGGGGGAAAAGACCACTTGTACGATCAGATTTTAAAAGACCAGAAGCAAACTTACGACAGTGACAAACCCTCCTATCAAGTAGGGAGTCAAGTTCACAAGATATTAAAGCATTCTTATAAGAAGTATAATTATTTTTCCCTAGTATAATTCTACATGCTCTTTTTTGTACACTCTCAATTTTGTTGCTTTGTTTGACCATGGAGAAAACAGTGAGATCAGAGTGCCAAATTGAGTCAGCATATTCTACTATAGGTCTCATGTAACCAGTGTAAACAACATTAAGTTCATCAGAATTAAAACCAAAAACGTTTCAAAGATCAAATTGAAGACGGATTGTGATTGATTTTGGACTTCGAATGAACGAACAAATGAGCCCTTATCGTAATCATCAGCAGATATTGCTTGATATTGCTATAACTATCATCACCACCACCACCATCATCATCATCATCAATATAATTATGTGGTAATGATTATAATTATCAATATAAATTATATACCGGATCTAATAAATATTCATAATTCATAAATATAATGTCTATGTTGAAAAAAAAAACAATGTAGAAAAATTATGCAAGACGTCATGAGAGGAAGCTCTAATATGATTGCGCCCTCTGTACAACATTACGCATTTAATGTACTGTATAAACTATTATAGATGGTGCCACATCATTCAGAAATTTCGCATCACTTACAAATTATTTCCCCTGAAGGGAGGGAAATCTTTTCACTAGGCCAACCACTATTCAGGGGACTCCAGTCGTAAGGGAACAATTTTTCGGTCCTGAAGGTGTCCACTTAAAGGGGGTTTTAGTGTATGTGGTTTACTAATCATGCCGAGTAAAATTTGTGTAAAGTGAGTATGCACAGATCATCACAGACGCGTGCGCACATACGCACGCTTAATTAAAGGAACTTAAACGATGATGGGCCTATAAATACCGTGCCACATTACAGTATTCACACGAGTTCACGTGGATAAAATTATTCATTATTTATTAATAATTAAATTCATTTTTTCATGCCTCTTCAGACATGAATTGGGGTTTCATAGGTTGATTGAAATAATGTATGTAACGTAAGCATATATATTGTATAGCCGTACCTCACGTACATTGTTGACTGGCCACAAGTTCAGTGACTCCACTCCTTGGCTGTCCGCAATGGCATGCGATATTTTATCTACAAAAGTAATTTACTAGTGTAAATAATGAATGGTATTTGCAATCTAAGGGTCTCTATTGCACCCTATTTATTTATAATCTTTTAAAATGTTAACAATGCAAATTGGCCTATAGACAGCTACAAAAAAAAAAAAAAAAAAAAAAAACCAAAAAAAAAAAACCAAAAAAACCAAAAAAAAAAAAAAAACACGCCTATTTCGCGAATATAATGTCCGAACTCGGTTGGTATTTATACCGTGTCTAATGAGGCCATCATATCCATTATAATGTTTGTTCTTTTT